GTTAAACCATTTGAGTTACGGTTCGTGTATGATACATTTTTATCAGGGTGGTGCTCTCGTGGTCATTTTTAAGTAGAATATCAGAATCCTCAGAAATAAGAAGGGTTAGATTAGAAATACTCAGAGGGAGAGATAGGAGGAGAAAACAAAATACAATTCGGCAGCAGGGATTTGTTCCTAAATTATCTTGCAACCCTTGCTAGAAGCTAGCATTTCAAATGACTTGTATTTTTAATTCGATTTACATACTAAATAATAATTGATTGCATCGCAATATTTTGCACATTTCTTGGTGCCATTCATTAACCAACGGATATCAATTAATCAATAGAGTTAGAATGTTGTTTTTGATTCCAAAAACTAGTTGCATTTGAGAAGCACACAAAACATAGAGGTGATTTAATTTCTGTTCGATTGCAATACCCTTAATTTTATTCTAGTAAGAATAAGAAATCCCCGGGAAAATTCTAATTGGAATGTTCGATTGGCTCAGACTTTGACAGTTCATTTGGCTTTAGGTTAGCGACTGAAAGTCAATTTTTATTTGTTATATGCGACAGTAAGAAGATACTGAGAGGTTAGCACATATCATCGGCAAGAGACGTGCGTGTGAGAAAATTTGCGAAAAAATCTAAGGGCACCGGTGGGATTCGAACCCACAATTCCCATTCAGTACACGGGTGCATTGCCAATTATACAACGATGGACCTATGGTCTACGGATGTATTTGGCTAATGACATATGAGTTTCGAATCCGTTTCCCTCCCTAGTCTTTTTGCGCAAGCGTTCTCAATACACAACAATCGTCTATTACCGACGATATGTGCTTGTACCGCAACCACTCAGTATCGGTCGATGTGAACAAATACAACTCGTCTCTGTTCTACATCACACATGTTGGATACGGGATGTCCAATGCAGTATGAATAGAGCAATGAGCTGCTGACCTCACCTCCGACCACCGGGCCATAGTGATGATTTATCATCAAATTAATTTTCGATTTAGGTTAGCGACTGAAAGTCAATTTTTATTTGGTATATGCGACAGTTAGAAGATACTGAGAGGTTAGCACATATCATCGGCAAGAGACGTGCGTGTGAGAAAATTTGCTCTCCACTTATCTCTCCCTCTAATATTTCTAGATTAGATTACACTACTGGTGGATTAATTCAGGTCTCTTCTTTCAGATTTTTTTTTTTGAGGAGTACGGGTGATGCAACCTTGTGCAAAGTAATTTGTTTGCATCAATTTTGTAATCACGCTCAAGAAAGTGATTGCTGCAGATCCTAGATTTTTTTTTAAGTTTCCATGTCTTTGTGCTGTCCAGTAAAGATTTAAATGCATCTGACCCACAATTTTCCTACTAATAAGAAGAATCAACAAAAGTAAAATTTAATTCAAGATGTAAGCCGGCAATTGAAAGAAATTTCAGTTATCGGACACTTAACTGTCTTTTCAAAACGTCAAATAAGGTGAACACACATATTTATCATTATACGTTAATAGAGTAATGTTTGCTCATACTATGAACCCCCGTTAATTTGAACGATACCACATGCATATCAAATGCCGCTTCGCATATTCTGGACGATAGTTATCAGCATACAATAAATCGATTTAATTCCAAGATATAAGGAATGCAATGCAACATCAGTAATACGTCACACTCAAAAATTAATTCTAGGCTTGCTTTCGACGTCCACATGAAGTGAAACAAAAACATGTTTTCTGATGTGGAAGAAGTTGTGGCACCAACGATGGCTGACCCCATTGCTTACGTACGGTGGAGACATCTACAATTTGTAAGTGGGTACGTGAAACTAAGGTTTTCTGTCTGGATACTCGGGGGTGCCTTCAACCCAGTGTAGATGAATTACGTTTGTTTTGAAAATCTTTCATTGCATTTGATCCTCAAAATCATCCTCACCTAGACGAATATTAATATTGACAACAACAGGGACAGCTACGAATAGAGTTCTCCAGATGCACAAAAGTGTGCATGAGACCGCGCGCTACCATTTGAGGTAGTTGGTATATCGCGATACCTTTTTGGTTCTTCCTCTTCCTCTTCTCAGTCTTATACATGGATATTGGATTTTAGTGTTTGTGAGATTGTGCTTGGAGATCTCTGTAAAGTAAAACAAATGTTGACTTCGATACTCAGAGGTTGCCTTGATCAAGTGAATGTTCCCTAATAAAAAAATACCATAATCGAACGATAACCCAAATTATAGAACTATTCCACAAATGGTTTGAATGAAACCCCGAACACGTCGAATAACCATACAAGAATTATAAGGGTTGTTATGTCAAAAGTCCAATTCATGCAGGTAGTTTGTCTATTTACTAAAGTTGTCTTAGTTTTCAGCTAAGTTGAATGTAGAAGAAATCAGGCGTAACATTTGATAACGGTACAAAACATTTTGTAAACAAAAGTTGTAAGGCCCTTTACACGCGAACCGAAGCACGCTCACGCAAAATTTCCCCCACCCGATGATGTTGTTGGTTTACGAGGGCGTTTTTCGGTTTGCTTGCAAGGGGCCTTACAACTTTTGTTTATAAAAGCTTTTGTGCCGTTATCAAATGTTACGCCTTAAATGATTTGTCTCAGCACTTGTAAGCAGTTTTATTACGCTCTGCTGAAAATCAGTTATAAATTTAATTTGATTTTTGATTGCTTGGCTGCAATCGACATCAACCGACCATGAGTCATGGCCGACTTAAACATGTGGGTCACGAGTTGTTATCAGTTGGGTCGCAGGAATTTAGACAGCTTGGTCATGTATTAAAAATATCGTCAAGCAATTCTCTGAATTTAAATTGATGTTGAGATAATCCAAATTAACAATTTGTTTCAAAATGATTCTCATTTAAATTTTTGTGATTAATTGATTATTGATTATTGACGTTTTCAAGACCGTTCAATAATTTAATTTAAGGATTATTCTACCGCTCCAGGTATTTTTGGTGACTTATAGGCCATTTAAATATTGTTTAGCCATTAGTTTGGAAAGGTTTGACCATTTTGGCACTATCTGACCATTTTTGATGCCATTGATATGCCCTTTTGACGATTGCGGACCATTTTTGGCGTTTTTCAAACCAATTTTGACATTTTCAGACTCTGTAAGGTGCTATTTATGAAGCTTTTTGGGCGATTTTTACCGTTTTAGGCAATTCAAACCATGGTCTAAAATACTACAATAAAACAACATTTGTTACTTGGGTCATTTTTTGTATTCGCATGTTAGCCCTGAGTCGATCATACTAGTATCTCGTTTTAATACTACGTATATGTTTCGATTACTCTTTCAGTGTTTTCAGATTATTTTTGCACATTCAAAGCCCTTTTTAGATCGATTTAGCAGTGATGCAAAATGTCATGACACTCACTCGGCACTCGTCAACGCATCAACCGACTATCGCTGACAGAACGTTTTGTCACGCAGTGACAGGTAGTGCCATGGCAAACTACTATCACCAGGCAATTCGGAGTATTCATTAGCTTGGGGACAAAATCGATCTTGTTGGCAGCATACCACTCCAGAACCACCTTGGAGTAGCGGCAGCTGGCCAAATCGGGCCAAAAGATGACTTTGCCCTTATGCTTGCGGATAAATGGGAATACACGTTTTTTTCAGGCGTTCTTCGATGTAAACTTGGGATGTCATCGTCGAGCATGTGACGAATGGTTCCGTTTTCAGGCCACAACTGCAAATCGCTTGCCAAATTATGACCTTCTTCGCGAACTTGTCGGCAAACACGAACTTGAATCTTCCCGGCACAGCCCCACGTCCAGTCGCGATGTAAAACTTTTGACCGGGAAGCTGCTTACAATATTTGACGTGTGTTTCATCATCGATCAAAGTGCAGCCCTTGTGTTTCGTCAAAACATGGTCGTACAAGAGCCTTGCACGGTTTTTGGCCACAGAATTCTGCTTCATGTGCTGGTTCGGATGTTTACTGGCTTTGTACGACTTGTATCCTTCCCCGGCAAGGATGTTCCGCACCGTTTGAAAGTTGGCGTTGTAACTTCTGGCCACATCTCGGATCGAAAGACCGGGGTTGGCTTTAACGCACCTCAACACCGCGACCGACTACTTTGATCAAACTTCTTTTTTTCTTTCTTTAACGTCGGTCTCTGTTCCGCAACCTAGTGCCAATCACCGACGGCCATCGATTGCCATCCATTGACGGCAATCGAATGTGCAGGAAGGAAGCTTCCACACCTGCGTAGGATATCGCACCCATTAAACACACACATGGGCCGGGACCACTTTGATCAAACTTGCTCCAGTTGTTCTCTATAGAAGTATAAACAAATCACTGTCAAAGATTTTTGATTCCCAACACTAGAGGCGTGCCAGCGGTGCGCAAGGGGCGTACCAATTTACTTTCAGTCAGCCTTTATGTTATAAATAAATCCAAACAAATAATTGACAAATGAGAGGCAGGGTGCTTTTTAATTAAGGTGGTGCAAATTTTCGGCTTATATGTTAATGCTCCACAACATTACCAGCATAACCATTTCAAAAGATGGTAGGTAGAATGCTGATATACTGAGAGGTGAAATTAACATTAAAGACAGGGAAATTCAAAAAAAAAGTCCAAATACATGGTGGTGCTGTGTTTGTTTCGCTGGGTGTATTATCCGCATATGATCCTATTATATTAGCTGCAAAGAATGACTCACAATAAACTGATTGTGACCGAAAACGATGTAAACAAATAAGGACCGAACTTAAATCCTCATCCATTCAGTTGTCATTCCATCTACCGATACTCCGGGCCAATCCACCGAAAACCGGCTAAATTTAGAACTGTATGTAGAACGATTCCACCCGCAGCCACGTGTCAGGCGAAATCCACACTCTCTCCAATTAAATTCGTTTCCACCTAAGCTAATTAATTAACTGCAATCGTCCCTTCTTTCTTTCTCTTTTCTCCACTATAGCGGCATATTTTTAGAGGTAACAACAACAACAACAACAACAACAACAACAGCAACGACGACGGCAAGGAAAGACAGTGGAAATCAGTTCAGCTCAACGGTGACATTAAGGACAATCAACTGATCAATTAGATGCTTTATTGTGGCGAAGAACAGCTCAACTCCTAACACCCGAGCACCAAAAGAAAACGATCGCGAGGAGAACTTTCGACCTCACCATTTATAGCGTGAAACAATCAAAAGAAGAAAACAAAAAAGGGAGCTTAAGGTTCCATAAGAATATTAGTGCTGTGACACGATTTCTGAATAGCTCGTGGGAAGAAGCTATTTTGAAGGTGAAATTTATGTGCATCATACTGTAGGTAGTTTGTGTTCAACGAAAAATAGAGTTGGTGTTTATAGTAAAATGCAGTGGCAGATCCCTATCGAAAATATGTGCCGTTAATGTGAATTAAATGTCTTATACAATTGCAACCACAGTCTGATCTCGATTTGAGACATCTTTTTAAGAAAAAATATCCGAAGAGCTCAAACAAGTGTGCAGTAATTGAAGTGTGCAGTGCAGTGTAATCGTGTGTGGCCAATCGGAATTTCATAGCCTTTGGAGAAAAACTCCAAGAAGAATCCAATTGTACACCCCTGCTGAAGTAGGAAAATTGTGATATGGAGATCATCTCAATTAGAAGCCGTCGGTTTTTGATTTTTAGTTTTGTTTATTTCTGTTCCAAGAGCGCTGCTCCCTTCGACGGCCCGAAAAATGCTCGCTATGCGTCGCGAAAGTGATCAAATCTACAACGGTAGTACCAGTGCGATTAACCACCATAGCAGCAACAGCAGCTACAGCCAACACTTGATTCCGTCCCACGCCGTCGGGAGTGCCAACGGTCATCCCACCAACAGTGCCCTTTCGGCTCATTTGAACAACAACAACAACAGTCACAACACCAGTAGTGGTAGTGTTTCCAACGTAAATGCCAGTAGTGCCGGGCTAAACAGTGAATCAGTCGCGAGTGCTATCGGAACTAACAGTCCGTCAGTATCGACGACGCCATATCATCATCATCATCATTCTCACCTCTATCACCAGCAACAACAGCAGAATCATCAAACTGCTCAGCACCATCATCATCATAACCCTGGTGGTGTGAGTCACTGCTTAAGCGGCCTTGGAGGCCTGGGCGGAGGAACCTCATCCGCCGCCTACGGAAGCTACACAAGTTACGGAGCGGGAAGTAAGTGAACCTCTTACCGTTTTAACTCTAACGATTTCCGAGAACTCGACAGTCTTTATAAATAGGAGCATAGGTCTTGTTGCTTAATGCACAGTGGTTCTTCCATAGGATTGATGTTAAGAATTATAAAAATAAAATTGTTTTTCCGGCTCGTCATGGTCTTAGGTGGTTATTCAGGGCTGGTAGCAGGTTACTTTTTAGTGACTAGGTCACTTTTTCTTAAAGTTGAGACACTAATGTAACTTTTCTACGACCAATGTTGAGAGTACAGAAGTTTCCTTTAAAAACACATTGAAACTCAGCTTGACGTGCTAGTAAGTTTTTGTTAGAAAGATTCATTAAAAATCAGCGTGTAAAATTTGACAAGAAAGGTTGCGAACAGACGGGAATGTAAACTATTCAATTGGTGTTGACAGAATGAATAATATTTTGATTTTCTTTTGAAACTTTGAAAAATGGTCTAGGAACATGTTCGAGCTCTTGACACTTTTCAAAAATCAGAAATTCAGAATCAGATTGAACAAGCCCAGTAGCTTTAGTATTTGTCCGAACAGCGGAAAAAAAAAATCATGTTCCAAAATCATGAGTATTTTTTTTCTAAGGCAATTACATTGTATTGTATTTATTTTTTCAAACCTCTAAAATCAAAAAATTTTCAAATCCAAATTTTTGAAAAAAAAAATGAAAGATCACAGGGCTGGTTCGTTTTTTAGTCGCTTGTTACTATTTTGAAATCAGCTACTAAAAAGTCACATTTTACACCAAACAGTCACTAAAGTAACCATTTCCCTAAAAATAGTCACTAAAGTCACTTTTTCTCATCCAATATACTGTGCGGCATAACAGTGCCATTAGCATTTTTTTGGCGAAAATGAATTATGAATTGAAATCGATTGTCATGTATCCAGGCCTGGGTTCCATCCCAGTCGGCGCCGCCGGGATCTTCTGAGGCATAACATCTCTGATCACGCCTTCCTTCGGATGGGAAGTAAAGCCGTTGGTCCCCGGTTCATGAGTTGATGAGTCGATAGCTAGGGTTCAGATGTGGGAGCTGCCTCCCTGGCGTCGGTAGCATTGGTGCTCAGCATGGAAAACAAGATCGACGGAAAACAAAACAAAGGAAAATTTTCCTTCTTTGGTCATTTTCGAAAATTTCGAAAACTACGTTGTCCCGTTCGTAAGAGTCCATAGAGAAAGAAAAATCTTCAACAGCGTTTTTCTCAGCTTGATGTTTTCATGGATGAGATGTACCGTATACGTTGTAATGTTTGCACCATTGAGCAATTTCAAAATTTAAAAAAATCTAAAAAAATTCGATTTCGGGGGATGTTTCTCAGAGTCTTAAACTATGTTAATCATCGATCGAGCTATTTCCTATCCTTCGACAATGTACCCCTCTAACCTCGAGTAAGCCGCGAGTATTCGGCCCAACTCCTACTAGTTCTATGTCTAGTAGGAGTTGGGCCGAATACTGAATTTTGTTACAAACAAAGAACAAAGAATTATCGGCTCCGTAAAGCTAACGCGATTGAGCCTTACAAATAAACGAACTAGATAAAAAAAAATCGATCGAGTTTCCACTTGCTGCAATTACAGCCTCCACACGCTTCCGGAATGCACGGCAGGTTCTAATAATGTAGCCTGGATCCATTTCTCTAGAGGTACGGGTCAATGTTTGTCTGATGTTCCTGCAACCACGGAGCCCCATCTTGTTGGCTTCGGACCGTACTGTTCTTTGATCTACGAAAGAACATACTTGCTTACTTAAAATCCCGATGTAGCCCTCCGTGTTGACCTTGTCGCCTACTGGAATGAACACCGAGTCCATTTTTTTGCCATCGGAAGCCACCAATCCAAACACCATAACGCTACCAGGACGCTTGGTCAGATACACGTTCTTGTTCTCGTCGGCCACGTATTTTACCAGAAGAGAACTAATATACCGGTCGGTTCTGGAATTTGATACGGGATCGACGGTAAACATGCTCTCGTCGGTGAACAGGATTACCGGATTTTTTCGCTTAAGGAAGTTCAAGCTTTTCTTGCATCGTTCGACTCGTAGCTCACGGATGCGGTTGGTAATCATGTGAGTTTTTTCCGTGCCCTTGACTTCACCCCGCAATCTTCCTTTACGATCTTCCGTGCCGTAAAGTCACTGATCCCGTGTTCCTTTGCCATTTCCTTATTGAACGCACTGGATTCACCCGAACCTTCCTTTTGATAGCAGCGATAACCCTCGGAACTCAAGCTGACCTCGGACGAACTGTGGCCAGCTTCGCGGGTAGTTGTCCTTTCTTTATTCGGTCTAAAACCCTTTTGACGGTCCACCAGGACACTCCACGGCGATTGAAATGTCTTTTTGAAACTTTTGCGCGTGGGACGAATCACGAATCGTCATGGTGCAACTATACTTTATTAGAGAGATTTTTAGCCGTTGGCTAGTTTATCTCTATACAATGGGAAGCCCCAGTGGGGGGTTCTGCCAGCAAATTTTGTTACGGAGTTGGCTTACAATTCACATGTACTCAAATAGAAGCAATTAAAACAGATTCCAGTAAAAAGACTAACAATACAGGCAACGAGAAAAAAAAAACAATCTGGTACATCAAAGTTAGGTAGAGTTTTGAAAGAGATCGGAGCTCCACCGTAGGAGGGGTAATCCCCCGTCCGGTAGAGATGTACCGTCAGCCAAAAGAAAGTTAAAAGGACCTAAATGTTGTTGTATAACCCAGCGTCCTTGAGGAAATGGAAGGTTCGTCGCCCTGTATGTCCCCCTAATGCTGTTGGGAAGTGCATATTGCTCCCGTAGTTGTTGGTATTGCGGACACAGGCATAGGATGTGTTCCACCGATGCTGTGGTTCCACGAACGTAGCACATTCTGTTGGACTGCGTCCCACCAAAACTATGTGAGATCCTTGTATGGCCTGTCCTAAGACGAGAAATCACTTTCTGATCCCGTAGTTTCGACATATCCGTCAACTTGCTAGTCGTTCCTTTGATTCTTCGGATGAAGAGGGATTGGGATTGGCACCACTCTGCTTCCCAGGCTTCCCACATTTTGCTGACTATCCATCGCTTTATGTCCTGTAGTGGCACTTCGTCGGTGTAACGGGGGCCAGCTGGTCCAGACCCTGCCAGGCTGTCGGCTTCGCTGTTTCCTGGGATACCGCAGTGCCCAGGGATCCAGGAAAATACCGTGTTCGGAGGTGTGGCCTCCACAATACCCTGTATCCCTGTATGTACGAATTGAATAGCACCAGTATGGGCCGGTCCGAGGGTGTTGTAACGGCAACAAAGATGGCCGCAGCTTTGGCGGATAAAACCGAGCATTGTGGCGGTAGGCTGCTACTCATCGGTGCTGAAATTCCGGCTACTCCAATTCTGACCTCGGCTCGGGAAAGCGATCCGTCTGTGTATATGTGGGCATGGGTTGGATAGTCCGAGCCTAGCAGTTCGGCTATTGTTCTCTTCAGCGCTGCAGAGTTATCTCCAGCCTTGAACCTGCTTTTTATCCGACTCTTGATTTTTGGTGGAGGTATGCGCCAACTTTTGTCTCCGTACCAGTGGACCTTGGCCACTGGGGGGAGCTCCGAATTGGCAGTCATGCGGAGGAATCTGTTCCCCTCATCGAGGAGAAAGATCCTGTCATTTCCGGAGGTCATTGCGGTAAAGGCAGCGGCTTTCGTTGCAATTGCTGCGGTTGTACGATGGCGGAAGGGCAGAATACCCGCTTCGATGCATGCGGCATCGGCGGGCGTTGACGGAAGAAGACCGGAGATAATCCGAACGTAGGTGTTAAAAGTTGGTGCTAGTATCTGCACGAGCTTTTCGGTGGCGATGCACGTCATCTCAAGACCGTACAGTAGGCGACTGTCGATGACGGCTCTTGCAACCCGGAAACGAGTGTCGCGATTGTTAGACCGGTGGGGGCGAGAAATAGTGCGGATCAAGTTGATCCTACTGCGGCAGTCGTTCTTGATCGCCTTAAAGTTCTGCTCGAAGTTGAGGGACCGGTCAACAAGTACCCCCAGAATACGGACCGTCTTCTTCAGTGGTATGGTCTGACTTTGAACTTTAATAGGTGGCCCGCTGACACGGTGCCGGGATGGACACACGTGGCACCTGACGCTTTTGGTGGCCGAACGCTGGAAACCTACCACGCTGGCCCACCTGGCTACAGCGGAGACTGCTGCATGGGCCTTGATCCTGTTACGTGCTGCTGTTGGGCCGGTAGTTACGATAAGTACATCGTATGCATACACGAAAATGTAAACATTTTTCGGCAGTCCTCCAAAAACTCCGTTCATGGCCACAAGGAAGAGGGTAACGGCGATAACTGAACCTTGTGGGACACCCGTCTCTTCTCTGAAAAGCTTGGGCCTCGTGTTGCCAACTGCTACTCTGAAAGAGGGATCGGTCAGGAAATTTTTGATGATGTGGACCATGGGTCCACACAGCCCCCAGTTGACAAGCTGCTCTAAGACGAGGGGCGTCCACGTCCTGTTGAAGGCCTTCGATATACCCAACGAGACGATCTCGCTATCGTTGGCACTCTTGAGGACCTCCCCTAATGTTGCAAAATAAGTTGACGTTCCGTACCCTTGACGGAAGGCGTGCTGTCGATGGTCGAGCAGGTTTTCGGCTTCAAGGAAATGCTTTAGCCTCCTGTTGACCATTCGCTCCAGGACCTTGGCCATACAGCATGTCAAGGCTATTGGCCGGAACTTGCTAGCTTCACGGGTTGTTTCATTGGCTTTTGGGATGGGAATGACTAAGCTCTCTTTCCACGACGCTGGATACGAGTTGGTGAGCCAGAACTTGTTGAAAAGCTCCAGCATCCGTAGCTGGGCTGGCGTTGGTAACCTCTTGAGTAGAGGGTACCCGATTTCGTCGGGATCCGCCGACTTTCCGTTGCTGCAGCGGAGGGCATGCTGCAATTCCTGCCAGGAGAACGCCTGGTTGATGTCCGAGTTTTCAGCGTCAAAAGAAACCGAAAAAC